TATGTCAGCAGAGTCAGCAGCCTCCAAAGGTGGAGGCTTGGGGGTATTTATAACCCCCTTGAAAAACTAGCCGTTTTATAGCCGTTGCAATACCGGACATGTTCGGTATGCATACCGGACACGTCCGGTATGACTTACACTGCGCCAACGGTAAATAAGTTACAGTGAAGTTGTGAGGCGTCGGAACTCCCAATGAATGCCGGAACTTCCGACCGTCGGAACTCCCGACTTACGTCGGAACTCCCGATCCTCAGCACATTTGAAAACATCGTAACTGAGTTAAAATGTGTGAGGTGTCGGAACTCCCGACGAATGTCGGCCGTCGGAACTCCCGACCCTCACGGCATTTGAAAACTAGCCGTTGGCCTCTGGTCGTCCATACCGGACATTCCGGTATGAATACCGGACACGTCCGGTATGACCACCACAGTGAATACTCTATTTCAGTTAAATTGCTGACATCGGAACTCCTGACCATTGCCGGAACTTCCGATCGTCGGAACTCTCGACCTACGTCGGAACTCCCGACGAACCAACCCGAGGACAAAGGTTTTACAGCTGTTGGACAAATACCAGACACGTCTGATATTGCCAGACTAGCAAGAAAACAGTTAGCACTTTTGTCTCTCAAACACTCAAAACTCACATGGGTTGGCTTAAGCACTTATGAAACATTATCTATCAACATGATGCATCCCTCTTAATAGTACGACATTACTATTAACTCAAATTTAAAAGTATAACGAAATTAAACCTTTTGAGTTGATCTCTTTGAACCGAAGTCATGTTTTCCAATCTTCATCAAGTGAGGGTGCCAATCATGTTGATATTGATCTTTTCACTTGAGCATAGCCATCTTGAGCACGTGACTTGATTCCATTCATAAAATATGAATAACTCCAAATGCATCAAGTCACTTCCAACACTTTGTCCAATATAGGTTTGATCCTCCACATCAATATGACCGTCGCAGCTTGATTAGTACCTCAATTAAATGCAAGTACTTCTTTCTTCACCCTAGCTAGGTTCTTCGGCCGCCAATCCCTCATATCTCATTAATGAATACTTAAGAGCTTGCTTTCACATAGCACATACAAATCCCACAATTAATAAGCCTTTGCATGAATTCTATTTGCATTGTTGTCTTGTGCTTGAACTAGATTGTTTATACAACAACACATAATTTTGGCTTTCGTGAAGTATCTGTGAGATAACCTATTACCTGTCCACACTCAGTAAACGGGTTAGACCTTTAATCATGTTGTCTTTCAATCATCCAAAACCCGCTAAAGGGCTAGATGCACTTTCAGCGTCTCTGCGCGCCTTGCGCGGCTTGCCACGCTTGCGGCCGCCTGTCGCGGAAGAAGGCTCCCCCTTCTTTCGGTTACCTTGGCAGGCAACCCACTGCTCCCGAGTGAGGAGGAGCTTCTCGCCAGTGGTGATGGGCCCCGAGAGAGACTGTGGCTCATCGTTGTCGACGACCTTGAGGCGACCTATCGCCTCCTCGATCGACATCGTGGAGAGATCTAGCAGAGACTCGATCGAGCGAGCCATCTGCTTGTACTTCTCGAGGACGTAGCGGAAGAGCTTTTCGACAGCTCTCTCCTCGCCGTAGGTGTCATCGCCGAACTGCACCATCTTCTGCAACAAAGTGTTGAGACGGAGAGCAAAGTCATCAACATCCTCACCTGGCTTGAAGGCCAGGTTCTCCCACTCCTTGCGAAGTGCCTGCAGTGTGGACTTGCGGGCGTGGTCGCTGCCGATGCGTGCCGCAGCGATGGTGTCCCAAGCCTCCTTGGCAGTCCGCTTGTTGGTAAACGAGAACTGCATCTCGGACGGGACTGCAGCGATGAGGGCATCCAGCGCCCGTCGATCCTGGTCGTAGTCGACGTCGCCGTACCGGACTGTCTCCCACATGTGCTGCACCTGGAGCTTTACCCTCATCACCGTAGCCCACTCGACGTAGTTGGTCTTAGTGAGGGTAGGCCACCCACCGCCGGGGCCGACGTCCCTGACAACAGCTTGGAGCCCGTGGTAACCACGGTACCGATCCGGGGAGAGAGAGCCACGCTGCCTGTGAAGACCGCGCTCTCCATCGACCCGTTCGCCACCGTTGCCGTGCGCGCCTCCTCCAGGAGCGCCACCGCCGTGCGTGCCTCCTCTAGGAGCGCCGCCGGCGTGTCCGCGCTTGTCTGGGCTGCCGCCGCGCTCGTGGGCGTGCGCGGCTACCCACTGCGCTGCCCGCGCTCGCGCTGCCTCCCTCCCCAGCAGCTCGAGGTCCGCGTCGGCGCTGTCGTCAGCAGAAATGGAGCTGCTGATGCTACCGCGCAGAACCTCAACCTCTGCCGCCGCACGTGCTGCATCCGCCGCCGCTTCCGCCTCCGCTCTGGCTGCTGCCAGCTCTGCCGCTGCTAGCCTCGACGCCCTTGCCGCCGCCGCAGCGGTCTCTGCCGCCGCTCGCTCGCGTTCCTCTGCCACGGCAAGTTCGGCCTCCTGCCGACGCCGCGTGCTCGAGGCGACCGAGCGCTGAGACTGACCTGCGGATATGACGCGCTACCGGGGGGCTGCTGCGTGGGGAGAGGGCTGCTGCTCGTCTGCGCAGAGGGAGAGGAGTGAGCAGGAGCGGCCGGAGCTGCTGTTGCCCCCAGCTGGGGCTGTTGCGAGGCTGGGAAAGGAGATGAGCAGGAGATGCTCAGGCTACATGATAGTGCGGCTCCGATACCAGTTGTTAGTCACTGAATTCTTACTCTTGATAGTAGCAGAATTCTTACTCTTATCGAGAGAGGATGACACTAGGAGTTTGGGCAATTTTCTGGTTTATTTCTCACACAAATGCCATGCCAACCTGAGGGGTTGGAGATACATATTTATAGGCTGCTAGCCAGCCAAGCATATGCCAAGATGCTAGATGCTAACATGTTGTCCTAAAACAGATGCTGTCCTTGATGTAAGATGCTGTCCTAGCCAGTCAAGGATGCTGTCCTTGTAGATGATAAGATGCTGTCTTAGCCAGTCAAGGATGCTGTCCTTGATGGGCAGCAAGACCATCATGCAGCCACAAGGACCATATGCTGCAGCCCCACAAAGTCCAGCCAACACAGAGACTTATCCCATCATAGTTGGCTAAACTTTGTCTTAGTAAGTTTTTTCAAAGACAAAGGAAGGCCAAGATATTTGCTCGGGAGATCAAACAGCTCACAGGGAAGGTGCTCCTGAACAGTGGTGATATATGATTCTGTGCACTGGATGGGATACACATTACTCTTCTGCATATTTGTCTTCAAACCTGAGGCCTCACCAAAAAGCTGCAGCAGGTCAAGAGTTATAGTCATATACAAGGCAGAAGGCTATAGGAAGGTAACCATGTTGTCAGCATACAACGAAATATGGTGTTGCAGAGCCCTCGAAGAGAGGGGCTGCAAGACACCATCATCCGCCGCCCTAGATACCCATGTGGCTTAGAACATCCATAACAAGGATGAAGAGCATTGGGGAGAGGGGATCCCCCTGGCGAATTCCTTGTTGATGGTGGATGAAAACCCTGGGAACACCATTTAAGAGCACCTGGTTGAAGAAGTAGCTAGCAGCCCGCTAAGGATATCACACCAGATTGAACCAAAACCCAGCTTCTTTAAAACCATCTCATGGAGCCAACCAGCCAAACGATCAGCAAGAATCTTGGTGATAACTTTAGCGAAATTATGCACAAGACCGATGGGTCAAAAATCCTTGATATGTAGGGCCTCTTCTTTTTTTGGGAAGAAGAATGATATAGACTGAATTGAGCAGCCCCATATTACCATGGTTTCTACTGCATAACACAGAGATAGCAGCCATAACATTCTCTTTTATGACCTGCCAGCAGGATTTGTAGAGCCTACCAATAAACCAGTCGGGACCCGGAGCTTTGTCTGATGGCAGATCGCAAATTGTTTTCCACATCTCCTCCTCAGAGAAGGGCATACCGAGAGCAATGGGGCCATGAGAACTAAGCATTAACTCATCCAAATTAACTTTATGCTCCCTGTCCAAGCACGTCCCAAGGATATTACTGCAAACATTACAAACAACATCCTCCTTTTCATTCTCTCTTCTCAAATCTGTATTCTTACCTATCGATATCTCTACTGAATTCATATTCCTATGTTACCTGCCATATTTCTTCCATGTTTGCTATGCACCCTGCTTCCTCACCTGTTGTCTTGTAAATCCATCCAGCACTGTTTCTTCTGAAGCCATGCCATGTGATAAGTTTCAGGTATACAAGTAGACAACTTTGAATAAAACATCCTTTTCCATGGTAAAGTAACAGACCATGCAACTTAAGGAGTGCCATCAAGACAACTTAACACAGTGCCACTGTACTCATCCTCTGGAAATTCTCCTTTTGTTGAGGGAAAGTTTTGTGTGATTTCATCACAAGAGTGGAAATTCTATTATTGATCTTGTTGGACTCTGATACCAAATTGTTGTGTGCCTTTCTGAGCAACTGGGGTAGCTAACTTCAGTGCAAGACCTATAAATGCCTTGAGAATACATGGCTCTGCAACAAGTAGAATGGAGCAGAGCAAGAGGGAAGAATTAACAGAGCAGCCGGCACTGGTAGAAATGGGGCTCGTGGCAGAGAAGAATGAGAATTTGGCATGGGCAAAAGCAGAGATAGATACAAAGGGTTGTAGGGAGATGGCATTGCGTGCTTAATTTCTGAGATGACATGCTATAGCTTATGTAGAGTCAGCCCTAATATTTGAATATACAGAAACAACTACCAAAGATATTCAGACACTGAATCTAAAAAGTCTCAAACTCTTAACTTCCTATCAAACTACCAGATTAAACTTAAACTATCTTATCTTGTGCTGCTGCTCTTCCCACAATGTGCTACTGCCAGAGCCGGGCTACCTATTCCTGGTACATGTATAGTTAGTTCCATACCATTACTATGAAACTTGTTAATGTTGTCATAGCATAAATTGCTAGCATGTATAGTTTCGTCAGCTATGGCACTCAGAGGAGTATGGGTTATGGTCCTCACTGACATAGCTGTTGCAGAAACATTTTGGCAAATTTTTGGGCTCTCCCAGTATTTTGTAATACTTAATTATGGCACCCGTGTAGATTTTAATATAATCTGGCATATTCATCTCTGCAGGCTTATTGTTCAATACCTTTTCTGTCCTAACATATCGTTTACTCTTGCCAGAGATGATATTATCTTCAAAGATCCTCTCAATAGTTTCACAGGCGTCAGTAATTACAAAAGAATATTTTGGGCACTGCGGTTTACTGGCCAAATTTTTTTCAAGGCAGCATGGATTGACATTGTCAGCATATGGCAGCCTGTAGAGAATGTAATCATGGTCCGATGGATTGTCAATGGCATCCCTAGAGTTCCGTGGGAGGGCAATGGTCGCTTTGATGGCACCTCAGAGTATAAGTTGGATAAAAATGGAAAGATCTATGAACATAAGGTGGACAATATTGCCAGGAATTCACCAACAAAGTTCAAGGTATTGCCGGTCGTAGAGTTCATCAGATCAATTGGATGCGCATCCACCCCGAAACCAACATATTTTGAGGCATCATGTCTATCTCTGATTCAAGTGGCTTCATTTTGGTTGAGTTTGACTTTGATGAGGACGTACCCAATGTCCCAAATTTTGCCAGGAATGCACTACACCTACTTACCAATGAGTAGTACTTAATTGTAACAGCTGTGTATGTACAGCTATAATCCATGATTTAGATAAAATAGCTATAGATGTCCATCATGGACGAGCCGTGCAAGCTGTTATTGTCAGGTGCTGCAATTGAAAGATGTCTGGGAAACTTGTGCATCCTCATGTACTGTAGTGATGTATTTCTCTTTTGAGTTGCGCGAGGTTTTGCTTTTGGACCAGAAGTTTTGCCACATGAAAAGGTGCATTTGTTGTACAGGCGCGAGCAGAAAACACAGATTCCCTGTTTATGTTAAGTTCTCTTGAGATCTGAGTTTAGTTACATGTCATTGTATTACGTTCCTGTTGCTTTAATTTGTGAAGATCATTCGAGCTATGAAGGGCAATATATGTTGCTTCTTGATGACCTTTCGTCCTTATTACGGAAAACAAAACAATATTTATTGTTTGCTAAAGCTAGTTTCCTTTGTCAGCTATCAACACTGCTTCTCTTTTCTTTTTCTCTCAGGTATAAGCACAGCTTTGTTCCTGCCTGATGCTCTTGTGGTCACGAACATTATTCTCGAATTATTCAAACCTCTTCTGCTTGCTCAGGAATCCCTCTCGGCATATTTGTAAGCAAAGAATATACAATTATAGGTGTATTTTTAGTTAAAGTGCCTAAAATTGATCAAATATATAGATAATAATATTAAAAATTTATGACGCCAAGTAAGTATACTATGAAAATACATCTCATGACAAATATAATGACATTTATTTGATGTCATAGATATTGACGCTTTTATATATATAATAAGTCAAATTTAAGATAATTTAACTTGCTACCGTGCTAGAGTTATATATTTTTTCTGAACGGCGGGGGGTACTAAGCATATCTATGAATTCAAAATTATGTTTTTTTAATTAATCCCTACATAAAGTGATGGAAATGGGGTGTCCAATCTTTTGGCAGGTGGAGATAATTATTGATTTAGTGGAAGCGTCACACACACAATCTGGTTTTGAATCATGAAGACTTTCCTCCACAATTGTAGCACCACATCTTTTCTGGTTATCAACCATCTAATGTCTGGTTGACTTTGCCATGACCTAATTGACCTCGTCATAAAAGCTAATCTCTGTCTGCGAATCAAAGAATACAAGAACGAGAAAGAACACAATCCGAAATATGTAGATGAATGAGTAAGCATGAACGAGATCCTCTACTGTCGTGCACATCAAGTCCCTCTGCAGTCGCTGCATCTGCGCCGTCGATTAGAATAGGAAAAAGTCCATTTTACCTCCCTAAACTATCCTCGAAGTTTAGTTTTCCTCCCTGAACTCGAAAACCGGGTAAGCCACCTTCCTTAACTTTTAAAACCGTTTATTTTACCTTCGTGACCCGGTAATAGGTGATTTCAAAGGTGGTTTTGTCTTTTCTTTTTATTTTTTATTTTGGCTGAATATTTGAAAAATCATAGTAAATTATAGAAAAATTATAAAATAGAAAATCCAATTTTGTTAGACTCCACGTGAGTATATATACACAATAAATATATAATATGGTATGTTTTAGTACAAAGTTTTTGCTGTAGCTTTAGATCAATGCTTTTTTGTAATTAATTCATAGCTGTAGTTTCTATGGTCCAATTATGGTGAAATTTTTATGATGGTCTAATTATTGTATGCTTTAACTATAGTAAAAATTTCATACTCATTTATATTTTTACACACTTTTTACTATTTTAAAACTTTTTAACAAGCATAAAAATAAATAAATCTATAATTCAGTTATACATGATCCAATGAACATGAAATTTTTACTACAGTTCAATCACATAATAATTAGCCCACCATAAAAATTTTACCACAATTGGACCATAGAAACTGTAGCTTTGAATTAATTATACTAAAGCATAGATCTAAAATAACAACAAAAACTTTATACTAAAGCATACCATATTATATATTCACTATGTAGATCTAGTCATGTGGAGTCCAAGAAAATTGGATTTTCTATTTTCTAATTTTTTTGTGATTTACTATGATTTTTCTAAAATTCAGCCTAAATAAATAAAAAAAAGACAAAACTGCCTTTGAAAACCACCTATAACCGGGCCAGGGAGGTAAAATGAATAATTTTAAAAATTGAGGGAGGTGGTTTACTCGGTTTTTGAGTTTACTGAGAAAAACTAGACTGAGGATAGTTCAGGGAGGTAAAATGGACTTTTTCCATTAGAGTACAACGGCGAAGCTTGTAGAACGCATCTAACAGGCCATACGGGTGTGATATGGTGGCCCATCTAGGCCCACAATATCGGACGTACACATAAGATAGCCATGACGAGTCGATCCTTCCATGCGCCTTCGTCTTTCTTGTCACTGCTTCAGTACCCCGGTCGTCATCGACTTGTCGTCCTGGATGCCGTTTCCACCAGGCTAGGCGTTGCAGAGGCGTTTCCTGCCTTACCCACCGCCGCTCGCACAGCTACCGGTCTACGCTTGCTGGGCCCTGGTCGGTGGTGAGAGCTGCACCTCTTCACTGAAGTGCACCCATGCGTCATCGTCTTCTTTGGGCCAACCCACCTATCGTCGCAGAAGTAGCACCACGAAAGAGGAGAAGGCCCTGAGCCTCAACCAGCGACCTGTTGGAATTATGTGATCTCTGGCTCGAGCCGTTACGAAGGGGTACGCGGTTAAGGACCATTTTCCCTGGCCGAGTTAGTCGGGGACTCAGAGGAAACCCCACACGCGCGACGATCGGTAGTGCCCAAACCAACCAATGGTTGCAGCCCCAAGTCGAGCAGCGCCATATTAAAAGGGTGGCCTGGCTTCTCCTTTGGCCAATGCACAACTAAGAAATAGACCACCCTAACATTTTCTTTTCCTTGATCCTAAGAGGGCGCTGGATTGACCCAAAGCCCCCGCCCTTCTTCCTCGACTCCAGCACTGGCCAAGGTGATTGGCCGGTGCCGCTGGCGTCCTAAAGGTTGACGCTACACCTCCATACAACCGCACTGACCTCATCCTCGCATCCCTACTCCATCGATGGTGGAACCTCAAGGTCTGTGATTCATAATGTTGTATGTGATGTGTTCATTTGACTAGGCTAGATCACCCTTCGTGTTGATCTCGATCTAACATTGTGGTATCAGAGCCGGTTAGTCTAGTATTTGATCCATCACTTTCGGATCTGCCTTGGTTGAGATGTTTAGAGGTCGGTTTTGATCTAATTTTGCCCTAATTACTTACTGTTAATGATGATCATCCATAAATATGCATGATTAGGCCTTAGATGATCATGTTTTATGAGTTTTATGTCTTTGATCTATGCCTATGTTATGCGGGTAGAACGAAATCATCATGATTAGGGCTAACTCTTTTCAAATAATGATGTTTATGCCTCTGATTTAAGTCGGATAAGTCTTGGATAGGGTTTATCTCTCCCATGTTCATGCCGATTTTATGCTAATTTAATGCAATTCGGGGCTAGGGTTTCGAATCATGAAATCAGAAAGGAGGGGATGAACAAATCAGTTCAATTGCGATGAAATCCCCAAAATCCCAAAAGCCGAGATGACATTTGTTTACACCAAAATTTGAGAGAAGAGCGCGGGAACTCGCAGGCTTCTAAGATTGTGCCAATCAAGGAGTCGATTGCATAAGGATTGATATCAGCCGGTTCGGATGCGATACTGGGATCGGTTCTCTTTGAATGACGTCAGCAGATAACGATGATGAGATATGATTGGCGTCGGGAAGATATATGTCGAACTCTACAAAAGGGGAAAGATTAGGGTCCAAGTTATCTTAAAATAGGAATGTTTTCTTCGTACCAAAGATTGTACCGAGTCGTACTCGAGTAGGATTAGTTTTTAGGCTCCGGGTATAAATATCAAACCCCAGCTATTGTAAAAGACACACAATCAATCAAATATAAGTTACTTACTTTTTTGGCTTCGGCCACCCCTTAGGAGTAGTAGAGTAGATCTCGGCGAGTTCTTCAGCAAGTACGGCTGCATCGATCTGGTCGATCTCCACTGCTTGTTTGTAAGTACCGTCATGGATTATACTTCTGTTCGTACGGCTACATTGATCCGGTCGACCTCCACTGCAACTCTGGTATAAGCTAGTTATCGACTCTTGTCTAGTTCAAGTACGGCTGCATCGATCCGGTTGACCTCCACTGCTCGAACTAGATTAAGGTCAAGTTATCGGCTCTATCTAAGGGTGGCATTCCTTCGGATAGATTCATTAAGTTACCGATATTGCTTATTGCTTCCATTATTTATTTAATTACAGCAATATCACTTCGCCCAATTGTGATTGATCTAGATCGGCCTTATATCTTGTTTAACCCATCGTTTGTTAATCTAAACTGATCTAATCTACACTTTAAACGATGAGTTGTGTTTTATCGGCTATTTTAGATCAATCTTGATCGTGCATAGCGTGCGGTTAAGGCATGTCTGATCTTGAGTAGATCTATTGGCTAGCGAAAACTATTCCATGGCCCGTTATCACGGCCTGTGTGATTCTGCCTCACACCCCACTGTTAGCACCGTGGAGTGGGGATTGTTATTTGGTAGATCTGTTCCTGAGAGGGCATGACCTTAACTGTGCGCTATGCCTGAATCGGCTGCTTTAGCCGATATCGAGCGCTTTCACGAACAGTTCACATCACGAGATCGTTAAAGTAGGGATAGGTTGAAAGATGTGTTAGCCCCATGATCTTATTATTGTATTATGGCCTGCATGATTCTGCCTCATGCCCCACTGATATTAGTGATAAGTTAGGGTCGTTGAGTCTATTGTTGTTTCTACGGCCTGCATGATTCTGCCTCATGCCCCATTGGTCATAGCGATAGATGTGATCTAATATGTTCATTAGATTTATCTTTATTAAATGGTTGAATGGTGATGACCTATTTCTTTTATATAAAAGGGGTTCGGTTACTTGCAGTCATTGGCTTAGCATAAATTAATCATTGCTGACATCCTTTTGCCATTGATCGATATTTGTCTAAATAATGATATTCATCCTA